CTAAGTGTTTCAGCACATCTCCTTGACCACTAAGCAAACTTTATCTGATGATGGCGACAAGGCTGAGAGCTCCAAGACCTTGAGTGGAGATTGTTCTGTCAAATGCCGAGTATAGATTATTGCTCTCAGCTCTTGTTGTACTGGGTCTGAATAATGCGGCTCATATGATAAAGCTGTGAAGACTCTGTAACCTTATCAATGAACGTAGGTCCAAAGTAGCAAATGATAAGTGGCAAAACACAGATGCTCAGATCAAACTGTTTGACAGGTCAAAGTTAGACCGAGGTGTACGCATGGCTGGATTAGGGAGCCCCAGGGCAACAATGAGGCTCTACTGTTCCTCCCCATCTCTCCAATACACTTAATGGCTTTATGGCTGTGAGTTAGTCACATGTCTGCACTATAAATATGTAATTGGCACCAGCTTAAGGATAGCTTAGCTTAGCATAAAGCCTGGAAACAGTTAGCCTGGCTCTGTACAAAGGTCGCAAAATACACCTGACAACACCTCTAAAGCTCACTAACTAACACATAATATATTGTTTGTTTAATCTATACAACCAAAAAGTGTAAATATTACAATTAAATTTTTTACAATGCATTTCCCAAAATGTCGAAATATTCTTTTAAAGAAACATTGTGACACAAGAATGCTCTTCAAGACAGGACCTCAACATCTGGCCCCACGTAATCATGTTACTTAATATAGTTAGTATATGTACTAAAGCACAGAGTTACAGCTGATTATATTACCACACAACAAATTGCCACACAGTTCTCTCGGGGCAGGGAACTTGGGCAGTTGTCACTTTACCTGTTTGGTTTTAGGTGAAGGTTAGCCATGCAGCGGTAATGGTCACATATTGGGTTAGAGACACGGGAAGTGTGTGTGTGTGTGTGTGTGTGTGTGTGTGTGTGTGTGTGTGTTTCATTACTAGTAGTCAAACACACTCTGCAAAAGACTGAAAGTGCCAACATCAGCAACTTTAAGGACAGCTAATGATCAGATGTCATCATCTTATTTCTTTAGAAAAAGATACCAGAATAGAGACAAACCACGGGACTCTCTTTCTACATCACACTCATGGCTTCCTCTTTCTAAAAATGTCGAGGTGGAAGAGAGCAGTAATGAAAAAACGCTGCACATGACTTACAACATCATCCTAAACATTTTCTCTGATACTATGAGTTTCCTAAATACAGTGTTTTGATATGAATGTTTGTAATGTAATATATTTCACTGTGTTCTTATGCTGTACAGCTGGCCTGTTGCTGTCTGGGTGGGTGTTGTGTGTTGTTTGCAGTGTACTCATTACTCCTCTCAAAAGTAATAATATTACTTATTACTCCCTGTAATTAGTTACTCACTACTAGTTCTACTACTTACTGCCCTGCTACTCCCCACAAAATTGGTAATTGTGACACTTTTCCCCGTAATTCTGATTTACAACGATTAAAATCCAGTTTTGTTTGGTAAAATCAAAGTAATGGAATTTTTCCATATGTTGGATGTAAGCATTTCCATCTTCATAGCTAATTTCCTCCACGATTAGAAAAATGAATCCTAGGATGGGACTGGATTGTTGGATTTCAAATTAGTATGGGGGGGCCAACTTAGGTAATGCTATAACTAATTATTATTTGAACTATGATATTATTACTGAAATGTAGTGTAGTTACACTACTAGTTACTGGGTTATTATATTATATTCAACATGGGTTAGGGTTAGGAAACTCACAGCATCTGTAGATAAAAATGGCTCATTGTAAGATAACGAAAACACAACGATTCCAATATTCAAGTGATTATACACTAATGAAAACATACCTATAAATATTATATTCCTTTTTGCCAATAGATCCTTCTAAATGTTACTCACTGGACCTTTAAAATAAAATGCATTGAACCGAGGTGAATTGAAATCTATGTCCACCTGCCCACTGAAAAGGTTAAATGCACACCTGGTTAATGTTTAAGAGAAACACTTTTCAACCCCAGGAAAATACTAAACCTCTGTCAATGAGAGTTCATTGACAGTACTTAGATAAAGTGTGTGTACCATGCATATCATAGTCGAGCAGTGACCCACTTCCTGTAATTGTGGCCTTTACTCTCAATGAACCGAGCACCCGACTGAGGGGAAGAAGCCCCTGAAATAAACACAAAGTGACATTGGCTGCAGTAACTTACTTGTGTTTCTGTTTTTATGTTGTTTTGATTTGTCTTATTGTATAGCACTTGTTATTATGTTTATGAAAACTAGCTAAACTGTGAAAATTAACGGAAGAAATGGTTTCTCAAAACCTTTATGTTTTATTGTGTTCTGTTTTCAAGAGTATAGAGAACCCCAAAAAGGATCATATAGAGTTTAGGATATTTTACATTTAAACAAATCAGTATTTATACATGTCTGTGGCCATATCTGCAGATCAAGTAAACCTGTGTGAGATCCAAACACCCCAGGATAATAATCTTTATTTTGAACAGTGTGTACAGCTTTTCCATGTGATTTAATAAATCAGCTTTTCGCATCTGGTTTAAGACAAGTTCAACAGTGAAATCCCTTGATGCTGATTTGAATGAAAACCTGCACACACACAGGATGTCTCTTCTTTGTGAAACACTTTCAGCCTCTTCAGACCTCCTAAAATGAGGCTATTCAAATGAAATAATCTCAGAAGAGAAAATAACTGCTCACAGACTCACTGACCACAGACTCCTCCCCGTGAATAAAGGGGAAAAGATCATACATACAAACAGTAAGACTACAATTCATCTGCAGTTCAATTTAAAAGCTGAACACACTCATAACACATATTATATGATGGTGAGACTCAGACACACAAACACTTTGCAGGATTAAGTGTAATTAAAAGTGTTTGGATAGGAACTGGTTGGGTAAAATTAATTGACTCTAGTCTATTGCTCCTTCTTGCTGACTTCATGCGGCAGATGTCATTGCTACGTGGTGCAGTGTCTGCAGCCCTGAGGTTGCCTGTTGAGTGATTACTGCCCACAATGTGCTGCAGCCTATTACAATCATGCAAATAGCTGTAGGTAAGAGTCGTGCATGCAGTCACACAGAAGAGCTTGAGATCTATTTCCAGTCACTACTTGTCTGATGTCTTTTCAATGTCAGGATGTACACTTACGTGCTGTTATGCCCTCCTACAGTGATCCCATTGTCCATACCATCTACATATGGTTCGTCCCATAAGATGTAAGGAGCCGGCAGGGGAGGACCCACATGCTGCGGCCGCTGCTGACAGGGCGGGCGGGGTGTGGGGAGTCCGCCTGCGCTGCAGCTCCCATCTCTGGTCTCTCAAGGCTTCCTCTAGGTCCAAATGCCGCTTTATCCCCCCCTCTGCTGCTGCAAACATTCTTTATAGGCTAATTCAACGATTTGTGTCAGTTGAAAATCTGATTTCTCTTTCGAGAGATAAACTGTTTTTGTAAATGAATTAAAGTTTTAGGCTCAGTGTTTGCTATTTGAGATTTGTTTGTTACAGCTGTACCGCCTCAACACTTCATTTTGCACGTCTGACAAGTTATATTGTTGGTAAATGCGAAAAACAGTAACTATTTATTACAGAATTTAGGAAAACAACATTTTAATTCAGTATATGAATGGCGAAATATACTTGGTTGTTTTAGTCTTTTGGCACCACCATGTGTCCATTTAACATCATTGCTTTGCCTTGTGGAAGTGAGTCACTGCCTCTCATAAATAGAAACATGATTGATAATAAGAAATGTAATGAGAAATAGAGCTGTGAAAAGTAACTAAGTACATTTAGTCAAGTACTGTCATTTTGTATAGGTCTGAGGTTCTTGCACTTTTCTTATTTGGACTTCTATTTTATGCCACTTTGGACTTCTACTCCACTACATTTATTTTACAGCTATTAGTTAGCAGGTACTTTGCAGATTGAGATTAACATAATGTATGTGATCCAGATACAGAATACAAAGTTTTAAAAAAAAGTATGATTTGTATAGATGTTTCTATAACAGAATATAAAGCCTCCATCTCGACCTTTGTTGCTAATACTTCCGTTACTGAACATTTTACACATTTTTATTACATTGGTGTAAGAGTGAGGATAACATATGTGTTAATCCAATTATACTGCAATAGTTTCAACTTACTAGCATCAGAAATTGAAATAAAAACTCTCCTCATCTGGCATCAGACTTAACAAAGGTGCTGAAGCTACAGACTCAATGGAGAAAAACATCCAAACACTCAAACCTAAGGTAGTCTTTTTTGTCTGGAAAGTTTCTGACTGAAAGATTGCATAATTAATTAAGATCTTTGCTTTTCTTGATTGAGTTTGTTAACCTAGTAGGCAAACTTCCAACGTCTTTCTGAGATGTTTTGTTAGAATAACAAGGAAATATGTTATCGTAAATAAAACATGATGGAAAAATACTGACTTCATAGTTCTCATGTAACTCTGATGATTTTGTACCTTGTTTTGCAGAAACCTAAAAGGTCAGTAGAGATGTAACTGTTGGCTCATCAACATACTACACCAGTCAAGGCCAGAAGATGTTACAACCTAGAGTTTATCCCATACCACCTAATAACTGGAGACAACTTATCTTTTGCTAGGCTTAGTTCACGTATACTGTAATTTGTATTGTGCTTGAATACTGATGTTTTTTTTCTGTTTGGGGAGCTCCTCTCCCAATAACTCTTTGGGTTGTATGAGATTCTGTGCACTGTTTAAATAAAGACACGCTTTGACATCAAGTACTCTCTTTGGGCGTGATTCTTCACCCACACATGATTAATTTATTCATTCTGTATAGAACTATAGTAAGCCAACAACTTTTTGCACCAGTTCCATGACTAATTAGACTAATTGCTTAGGTTTGCTTCACCTACTGAGAGTCATTCACCAGTAGCTGTCCATTGCTCGTTAAGCTCTGATTGGTCAGAGCTGGTCTCTGGCAGCATTTAAAACCCTTCACATCTGACAGGGTCTCCAGTGTTGGGCTTCAATATGATGACACCATGGTTCCTCTCAGGGTAAGTAGCTGCTGCTTGATTCCCTTTTGACTGTTTACTGGTAAACCCTTGCTCATATATCTTCTTTTAAATTGTTTCAGGGCTGCCCTCTTTGCTCTGCTCATTGTGGACATGTCCTGTGTCCCCATTAAGAAAGGTAAAGCATGATCACACTAGTAAAGCAATGTTTCAACTGAATTCCCTTCTAACTAATTTGTGTTCTTTTGTACTCAGGCATTAATCCTGGTGTATCCTACGGTGGCAGTTCCATGAATGCTGCTCCTAATTATGGCTCATACCAGGAGGCCCCTTCTGGCCAGTTTTCACCTGGAGTGATGCCCAACAATGCTGATACAGGTGTCTCCACACCATCTTATCAACCTGTGCCACAGTGGGAGCCCAGTATTTCTCAGCCTGCTGTCCAAAGACAGCCATCAGCATCTGTTGGCTCGAATTCTGCACCGATAGGCTACAGGTCTACACAACCAGGACCTGTTTTTCAACCTCGCCCAAAAGGTAAGACTCAAACCCTGGATGCATTCCAACTTTCTCAAACTAAACTGTGACAAATCAGACCTTATCATTATCGGCCCCAAATCCCTCACCAAAACCTCGCCCAAAAGGTAAGACTCAAATGTAGCGCTATTGTACAATGACTAACTTCAAGTTTTAATTTTTGGGCCACCAAACTTAACCTCTGCTTGGCCTATTGTGGCCTTGATTATCGAAGTTAAATTGTTGAATTTTTTTTATATTTTTTTTTTTTCTCTGTATTCCTGTTCTCAGATATCGACTGGGCTGTTGCACCTCCCAGTCCCTTCTCTGATCAGGAAATGTCGACTGGCCCGGGTGGCGTTGGTTCCAGTGCTCCTGAGGACTGGAGTCCAGCTCTCCCACCACCCGGCCCAATGTACCAGCCAGGAGAGCTGTCCCAGTACAAGGTCAACCTTGAGGATGGGTACTCCGAGATGGAGACAGAAGAGGATGGCTACTCTCCTTATTCACCTCGTGCACAAGAGGCTGTTGGACAAGGCTTCACCAGCGAACCCCGGCCAGAGGCCAGAATCTGGCTTCCTTATCCTTACCGCGACTACATGTTCCTGACTGGCCAGTATCCTCCAGGCACAGTCACTCACTCAAGCCAAAGTTACGAGCAGGGGAGTGATTACTGGGGGAACGCTCGCTATTGGAGACACGATCCCTACAGCCCGGCTACTGAACAGCAGGATGTGACCTTCACCCCCCAGAGATTTGATGCTCCTGTGCAACCTGTGAAGTATCCTGTAATAGCTTCTGGTTAGACAGGTCCACAGTCAATGTGGCAGCTATAATGCAGGTAGGCTATATTGAATGTATATCCACATTCTTGGGCCATGCCGTTACTTGTACTAATGTTGCTCTTTCTGGTTTACTACTCAGGTATGAACAAGGCTTTCTGAATAAATATTGTAAAATATTCTGGCTTAAGATTATTTATTTGACTTGAATGTAAGAGCCCCTCAGAAGGCATTTGACAAAATGTCAGGGCTCTCTGTGGGGCCCTTCTGTCTGTAGAACTATGAAATGAACATGGCCACCCTCTTGATGTTTTACTACAATGTGGCAAGAATAGTCTCACTCTGAAGTGGGCACAAAATTTCATGAAAATGCACAAGCTTGTAGAACGTGCCTGTTGGGTGAAATGTTCATAACATGACTATTGTGGTTTTGGACTGGCCGGTGCTGGCAATATGCCTGAAGCTTTAGATGTGGTATTGCACTTTCATCAGTGGGTCTCTCCACTCAAGAGATCAAATGGGTGCCCCTTCAAACAGTCCAGGGATTCAGCAAATCTAAATGTGTTTGGGGAAGATGATTTCAGTGTTGGTGGTTTTGCAGTTGGAGCGGAGAATGGATAAAAGGCAAAGATCTGAAGCGTGAAGTGGCTGTGTCTTAGATGTAATCAGCAGGGTCTTGTAGTTGACTGCACAGGTTTTGTAACATGATGGTCTAAAGTCATATACTGGTCAAAGACAATACCAAGATTCTTACCAGTAGGTTTGAATTTGTGCATAATGGTCCACTCAACTGCAGAGAAAACAATTGGCAGATCTAATTAAAAGGATTTCCGTTTTGTCAGGATGTAGGTGGAGAAACCGACATTCTTTGGTGTCAGCTAAGCAATCATGGAGAGGGCAGTTGATTCAGGTTATTGGGTTTAGCAGAGAAGTAGATCTGTCTATCAGCATAACAGTGGTATGAATGATCTAGGACGCTGCTGAACAAATGACTCAAGCAGAACTTAAATCTTAAGAATTATGCCATTTACATGGCATTGAGCTCTCTTTATTCAATTTTATATTAAATTTTATTTGTATAGCGCCGATTCAGAAGAGCAGTTCTAGACCAAACTCCTTATAGCATTATTTAGAGACCCAACAGTTCCCACCATGAGCAAGCACTTAGTGACGGCGGCAAGGAAACACTTCCTTTTAAGAGGCAGAAACCTGACAGACCCCGGCTCTAGGTGGGTGGTCGCCTGCCTCGACCAGTTGTGGTGAGAGACAGAACAGAGGAAAAGGTGCACAGCAACAACTACACTAATAGTAGTGACTGATGATCAACATGAAGATAACAACGATAGGGGACAATGAGCAGTTATTGTAATAATAGCATCATTAGTAACAACATCAGTGATATTAGCAATGGGAGTCAAGCAGGACCTTGGCAGGAGGCTCCACCAGGATCTGCGAGACGAGAAAGCACAAGAACTCAGAGGAGGTAGTGAAGTTAGTAACATGCATTAATGGGACATGAATGAGTGCAGAAAGAGAGAGAGGAGGTCAGTGCATCATGGGAAATCCCCCGATAGTCTAGGCTTGTAGCAGCATAACTAAGGGATGGTTCAGGACTCACCTGAGCCAGCCTTAACTATAAGCTTTATCAAAGAGGAACGTCTTAAGCCTGTTCTACTTTTTGAGACTATAGGAACCGCAAGTACCCCTGCATTCAGAGAATGTAGTGTTCTAGTGGGGTAATAGGGTACTATGAGCTCTTTAAGATATGAAGGGACCTGACCATGAAGAGCTTTGTAGGTGAGGAGGAGGATTTTGAATTCTATTCTAGATTTTACAGGGAGCCAGTGCAGAGAAGCTAATACAGGAGAGATATGATCTCTTTTCCTAGTTCCTGTCAGTACTCGTGCTGCAGCGTTCTGAATTAATTGGAGCGTCTTATTGGACTTATTGGGGCAACCTGTTAATAAGGAATTGCAGTAATCCAGCCTTGAAGTAACAAATTCATGGATTAGTTTTTCTGCATCCATCTATGACATTCATTCTAAAATGCAAGTGAAATATATTAGGCATATACATTATTAGTATAAAATGAATACAAATGAATGCTAAATATGCTAATTGTGCAATATAAAAAAAACAATAAATACATCCTAATTTACAGAATTTAGGAAAACAACGTTTGAATTCACTATATGAGTATACTTGGGTTTTCTAGTCTGTTGGCGCCACCATGTGTCCATTTAACATCATTGCTTTGCCTTGTGAAAGTGAGTTTGATAATGAAATGTAATGAGAAATACAGCTGAGATCTGCTGTGGAAAGTAACTAAGTACATTTAGTCAAGTACTGTAATGAAGTATAGGTTTGAGGTCCTTGCACTTAATTGCTTCTTTGGACTTCTACTCCACTACATTTATTTTACAGCTATTAGCTACATGATACTTTGCAGACTTAGATTTTACGTAAATTATGTGTGTGTATAAAGTAAAAAAAAACATTTTTTATAGACGATAATATAATATTTTTTCCTATTGTGGAGCAAAACAATATTTTGCCTGTAGGATAAAAAGATGTTGATCATTTCATGTAATCAGGAAAGACAACCAAGATACAAAGACATGGAGAGAAAAATAAAGTTAAAGACACTATTTTGGATGAGGTCTGTATTATTTGTATCCAGAACATTTGTTGTCCTGGCACTTCCACATACAATGTACCAATGTCCCCTCTTTGAGCCACATTTTACACATTACACCTACTAGTATCAGAAATTGAGATTAAAAAAAAAAGTTCATCTGGTATCAGACTTAACTTAGGTGCTGAATGGAGAAAAACATCCACACACTCAAACCTAAGGTAGCCCTTTTTGTCGTGAAAGTTTCTGACCGGAGCATTGCATAATAAATAAGATCTTTGTGCAGATTTGTACGTGCTGATGCTTTTCTCCATTGAGTTTGTTAAACTAGTAGGCAAACTTCCAACATCTTTCTTAGATGTTGATCAATATTTTGATGAATTATGTAATTAGAAAGACTATAGTAAGCCAACAACTCTTGGCACCTGTCCCGTGCTAGACTAATTGCTGAGTTTTGCTTCACCTACTGAGAGTCATTCACCAGTAGCTGTCCATTACTCGTTAAGCTCTGATTGGTCAGAGCTGGTCTCTGGCAGCATTTAAAACCCTTCACATCTGACAGGTTCTCTAGTGTTGGGCTTCAATATGATGACTCCGTGGGTCTTCTCAGGGTAAGTAGCTGCTGCTTGACTCCCTTATGACTGTTTACTGGTAAACCCGTGCTCATATATCTTATTTGAAATTGTTTCAGGGCTGCCCTCTTTGCTCTGCTCATTGTGGACATATGCTGTGTCCCCATTAAGAAAGGTAAAGCATGATCACACTAGTAAAACAAGGTTTCAACTGAATTCCCTTCTAACTAATTTGTGTTCTTTTGTACTCAGGCATTAATCCTGGTGTATCGTACGGTGGCAGTTCCATGAATGCTGCTCCTAATTATGGCTCATACCAGGAGGCCCCTTCTGGCCAGTTTTCACCTGGAGTGATGCCCAACAATGCTGATACAGGTGTCTCCACACCATCTTATCAACCTGTGCCACAGTGGGAGCCCAGTATTTCTCAGCCTGCTGTTCAAAGACAACCATCAGCATCTGTTGGCTCGAATTCTGCACTGATAGGCTACAGGTCTACACAACCAGGACCTGTTTTTCAACCTCGCCCAAAAGGTAAGACTCAAATGCTTAAATGATATGTGGTCGTACAATTTAAAAATGTCTTGTTTTGGGGCATCATTACTAGTAAGTTTCTACTTGGCCTTCTTGATCATGGAAGTTAAGCTGAAAATTGCTTGTTTGTATTCCTGTTCCTAGACATCGACTGGGCTGTTGCACCTCCCAGTCCCTTCTCTGATCAGGAAATGTCAGCTGGCCCTGGTGGCGTTGGTTCCAGTGCTCCTGAGGACTGGAGTCCAGCTCTCCCACCACCCGGCCCAATGTACCAGCCAGGAGAGCTGTCCCAGTACAAGGTCAACCTTGAGGATGGGTACTCCGAGATGGAGACAGAAGAGGATGGCTACTCTCCTTATTCACCTCGTGCACAAGAGGCTGTTGGACAAGGCTTCACCAGCGAACCTCGGCCAGAGGCCAGAATCTGGCTTCCTTATCCTTACCGCGACTACATGTTCCTGACTGGCCAGTATCCTCCAGGCACAGTCACTCACTCAAGCCAAAGTTACGAGCAGGGGAGTGATTACTGGGGTAACGCTCGCTATTGGAGACACTATCCCTACAGCCCGGCTACTGAACAGCAGGATGTGACCTTCACCCCCCAGAGATTTGAGGCTCCTGTGCAACCTGTGAAGTATCCTGTAATAGCTTCTGGTTAGACAGGTCCACAGTCAATGTGGCGGCTATAATGCAGGTAGGCTATATTGAATGTATATCCACATTCTTGGGCCATGCCGTTACTTGTACTAATGTTGCTCTTTCTGGTTTACTACTCAGGTATGAACAAGGCTTTCTGAATAAATATTGTAAAATATTCTGGCTTAAGATTATTTATTTGACTTGAATGTAAGAGCCCCTCAGAAGGCATTTGACAAAATGTCAGGGCTCTCTGTGGGGCCCTTCTGTCTGTAGAACTATGAAATGAACATGGCCACCCTCTTGATGTTTTACTACAATGTGGCAAGAATAGTCTCACTCTGAAGTGGGCATAACATTTCATGGAAAATAGACACTTGCAGAATGTGCCTGTTGGGTCAAATGTTCATGATTATTGTGGACTGGCCAGTGCTGGCAATATGCCTGAAGTTTTAGATGTGGTATTGCACTTCCATCAGTGGGTCTCTCCACTCTCAGAGCACCAAATGGGTGTATCTTCTGGTTGCCAAGCTTCCTCTTTGAATAGGCTAGAAAAGTTGCCACTGTCTCACTTCCTTACAGTTCATATAATTTTGGTTCACCCAGTTGACTTGTCAAGACACTGTATCTTAAACCATGTGGCACAACAGTAGGACATCAACTGCAGATCTCAGTGACTGAGCACATTTGTACTTTAATATCCTAATGGCAGTGGCTCTGACCTCAAGGATTTTAATAAATCCGCCAAGTGAGGGAGTATAATGTGGAAAAGGAAGAACATAACTGACTCGTTAATGCCACAGTTAACCACACGGGCAGGCGCATATAAAAGATTCTGAAATGGTAACTGAAGTTCAAAAATCTAAATCCCAAATTGAGGGGTAACATGATCTAAAAATTAAAATTCTAATTAAGGAAATGTGCAGAAAAGACATTGGCTCAGCCTTGAGTCCTGCTGCAGTCCCTGTATGTGCCATTTCAGTTTAGGAGGAATTTATACATAAGCAAATTTGACCTGATTCTTTCAACCCTTAAGTTGAGCAAAAGGGGTGGCAGTAAAAGTCATATGCTGCACAGGAACCTTCTCCAGCATGTAAATTACTTGCCTGTGGGTAGGGGCCAAACACGAACTAAAGGGAGACACAAGAAGGATAAAGTTGGAAAAAAAGGACTGCTTCAAAGCAGTGTGACAGCCTTAGGGTTGGCCTTATTCTGTTCCTCTGTCTTGGTGGTTTACCTTCTTTGTTTTAGGAAGTAAGGGGTAGAGCTGAGATTTCTCCCTGATGCAGCTCACCTGAGCAGGCTGGGCTCAGGAGGCTATAAATCAGACCTGCAAGAATTTCTCAGTCTCTTCCCCTGGCCTGCTGACTTAACTATTGGTTTTTGTTTGTATTCTGGCTTTTATATATATATATATATATATATACACACACACACCTCACCTTTCTCGCGACATACTGATTTGCTACTTAATTAAATTGAGTTAACTATTTACAGACTGTGTGGTCCCGGTTTGTCACACTTGGCCAGGTTGTGACAGTGATTCGTAGCGACTTTGCCTCAGTACCGAGTCCCGAGGCCGAATGTGACACCTGTCCCAGAGAAACCCAGTGACTTCTCCATCCTTCGAATATTCAAGGCTGACTGCATCGGCAGGGAAACCCAGACTGCAGCCTAGGTTTTGCAACAGAGGAGCACAGACTAATGGATCAAATATGAACAAACTACAGAGTGACTATAAACTGATTGTTGAACATGAGAAAACCAGATGTGACGCTACAAATGACAGGCCTACAGCCCCAAATTGTGAATCAGTCAGAAGATCTACAAGAATCAAGAGACCACTTCAGACGCTGACATACGAGTCTCTTGGGCGGCCCTCTTACCAGCCACAGAGCTCAGCCAACACTGTTGGACTTTGTAAAGTACAAACCCTTCCAGCATGGGGAATGCGGTCAGTTCCACTGTCACACTACCCACTGTGCGAGACAGTATATCAGACATTACCTTACAATATAATGATCCCATATACTGTTCCTGCTTTTACCTATTAATATGTCCACAAACAGATTAATATATATAAAGTCAGTTTGTAGTTTGATTTAAGGAAATGAGTCAAATATTAAAGAAAATATTTTTGAATGTCGGAAGCCATTGAATTTTGTCAGGGAGCGTGTGACCCACACAGAATGTAATTACATTTTTGTTTGTATATTTATCCTTTATTTAATATACATACATATGTATATTTATATCATTTTGATGGAACATTTATTTTAGTATGGAGATGAATATTTCTGAAGAGATATGGCTAAATTGAAGTGTAAATGTGAACGCATTTTTGTATAGAAACACACAACTTAAATGTACAGTATTATATAAGAAATTGTAATGGTCCATTCCAAGTACAGTGGTATAGTTTGTATATATGTGATGTGATTGTTAAGAGTAGACAATCTAAAGTTTCAGATGAAGTATCACACACTCTTAAGTTAAATTGAAATTATTGTGTCAATAAATTCTGCCAAGAGTGACAAACACGTCAGATCATTTCTCCTGTTAAACAGGACATTAATGCTGTACTGCCATCTGTAGCCTGCAACATTTACTAAACAACAGGATGTCCTTCAACGTGTTGGTCAACTTTTTTCCTTTGGGATTGCACCTTATTTCAGATTACTGCGTCAAATGCCGTGGGGACTGGGTGTAGTTTGGTCCATTTTACAGTCTGCTCTTCAAGCTGGCGAGAGGGGTCACTACAATGGAATAACTGTTGGTGGTAATATTAACTGTTGATGTCTTAATTAGCGTGAGTTGAGTTTGTCTTTTGTTTTAAATTTGATTTACTTTATTTTTCGATCAACTTACTTGGATTAAGATGATAAACAATATGTAAAAAGTTGTGTTTCTTCTGTTTCCATGCGGCCGTTATTCGGCCTGCAGCTGTAAATAAAGCGACATGACGCAATGTAGGGAGCAAAAAGTAAGTGAGTAAGTAAAGATTTCTTTATAAAGCACTTTTTAAAACACAGTTACAAAGTGCTTCACGAACAAATGAATATAACCACACACATACATACACACGTTTATATGAATATACACAGTGCTGTGACAAAGTATTTGCCCCCTTTCTGATTTCTCATTTTTTTGCATATTTGTCGCACTTAAATGTTTCAGATCATCAAACTAATTTCAATATTAGACAAATATAACTCAAGTAAATACAAAATGCAGTTTTTAAATGATGATTTTATTTATTAAGGGAAAAAAGCTATCCAAACCTACCTGGCCCTATATGAAAAAGTAGTTGCCCCCTAAATCTAAAAACTGGCTGTGCCACACTCGGCAGTAACAACTGCAATCAAGCGTTTGCGATAACTGGCAATGAGTCTTTCACATTGCTATGGAGGAATTTTGGCCCACTCTTCTTTGCAGTTGTTTTAATTCAGCCACATTGGAGGGTTTTTGAGCATGGACAGCCTGTTTAAGGTCTTGCCACAGCATCTCAATCGGATTTAAGTCTGGACTTTGACTAGGCCACTCCAAAACCTTCATTTTGGAGTTTTTTAAGCCATTCAGAGGTGGACCTGCTGGTGTGTTTCGGATCATTGTCCTGCTGCATTACCCAAGTGTACTTGAACTTAAGGTCACAAACTGATGGTTGGACATTCTCCTTCAGGATTTTCTGGTAGAGAGCAGAATTCATGGTTCCAATAATTACTGCAAGTCGTCCAGGTCCTGAAGCAGCAAAGCAGCCCCAGACCATCACACCACCCACCACCACCATGTTTAACTGTTGGTATGATGTTCTTTTTATGAAATGCTGAGTTAGTTTTACGCCAGATGTAACAGGATGCACACCTTCCAAAAAGTTCAACTTTTGTCTCCTCAGTCCAGAATATTTTCCAAAAAGGCTTGGGGATCATCGAGATGTTTTTGTGAGACAAGTTTTTGTGTTCTTTTTAGTTAGCTGTGGTTTTTCGCCTTGGAACTCTCCCATGGATGCCATTTTTGCTCACTCTTTCTTATTGTTGAGTCATGAACACTGACCTTAACTGAGTCAAGTGAGGCCTGCAGTTCTATAGGTGTTGTTCTGGCATCTTTTGTGACCTCCTGGATGAGTCGTCGATGCACTCTTGGAGTAATTTTGGTAGGCC